ATATATATATTTGTTGTAAATATGAACAAGATTGGCTCCACAGGGGTGGGGGGGGTGGAGATTGGCTCCACTGTTAAAAGACAAGAAAAAGAAGACTTTTCCCTTAAAATATCTTTTATAAAGATATTAAAGTTAATTTTAATAGATGATTTTTTTGGAAAAATACGGAGAATGTTTTCTTTTTTCTAGATGTTATTCCTAGAAAAACCTGTAAGCAACATTGAAGGGTAAAGTTCTCTTTGCAAAATGCAATTGGTCCAGCTTCTTCCACTTGGTCCACAATTCTGGAAGTCTACTTATTGGCTTATACAAGGTGAAAGGTGTAACAATTCATTTAGCATATCTCAAGCGATACTGATGGGAATCTAATAAACTTATTTGCAAAGAGGTAAATACATTTCAGTTGTTAGTATAGAATTGTGCCTACGGCTAGCAGAGGCTAGCAAACATGGGTCGGGAAGTTCTGGAATACGCTGACTTTCACAAAGTAGGTTAAAAGCATTTCCCTTCTAAAACAGAATGTTCCCAGGCATTTTCCTGGCGCTTTGCTGCTCATATATTAATAGTTACGTATAACAGTTAACTGCATACTGTCATTGTTGAAAATTTTTTTTGTGTGCACGGATTGCGATGGAAAGGAGAGTGGATTACAAACATAAACTCGTGGTTCGGTTTTACTCTGGAGGAAAGACAATTTCAAGTGCCTTCTACACCATCCTACCACTGCAAAACGGGAAGTGAAGTCAGGCAGTCAACGGCTTCCTGTCTTCTTGCAGAAAGGAAACAGATATGTAAATATACTAGGCAGCCTGCAGCTCGCTCTCTACTCAATCCATCCTATGCACGGTCCCGATTCGGCATTAGTAAATGCTATGCTGTCATTTCTATGTTCTCAATCCTGGGTGTACATTAGAATCACCTGGGAGGCTTTCAAAATAAACCCTATATCCAATCCCTACCCCCCCACCCCAATTTTCTGATTTATTTGGTGTGGGTGTGGTTTGGGCACTTACATTTTTAGAAGGCATCCTAAGTAATTCTAAGAAGCAGGCAGGAAGCCACTAGGTAAAAGGACAGAGCCTGAACATCTGAAGTTGCACTGAAGGCACTCTACTTTCTGTCCCCAAGCTAGCTTGCTAGGCTCTGGCCAGCCCACAGGGCCTCCCATGCCCTTTGTCTGTTGCTTGTGCTTTCCTCTTCCAGGCATTCCAAGAGGTTCTTCCTTACACATTTCTTTTTTTTTTTTTTCTAATTCAAATTTCTGTCCATTTTTCAATACCCAGATCACTATTACCTCCTTTGTGAAGCTTTCCCTGACTGCCCTTGACTGCAGGGCTTACTCCCTCTTCTGAACGCACGTAACACTTATTGCCTAAGAAATCCTCTGAATAATTAGTCAGTCATGTACTGCGTTGTGTCATCTCTTTCATTGTTGTGGTGGATGACTAATCTTTGCTTAACTTTTCACCTGTTATCCAGCTACGTATACTGTAAGCTTCTCGAATCCCTTTGCATTCTTGTCAAGCTGAATGCCTTGCTCAGTGCAGAAAGTCAATAGATATTTGCCCCTCCCTTCCATCCCTACTTCCACAGGTGTGGTTCAGGCCTTCATCTCTCCTGCAGTTTTGCCCTGGTCCTAATGGGCCTTCCTGACACTGGACTCTCTGGTCCTTTAAATCAAGCCAACACATGGTGGCTCACATGGATAATGGCCAGCAGAACTGATTGTGTCAGTGCACTCCTCTGTTCACTCTTGCTCTCTCCCTGTCTTATGAGCTAGGGCGCCCTTTGGATTCCTTTTTCTTTATGGACCCTCACTTTCCTACTCCCTGTTCTGCTAGGACTTGATAGCAGAATGCCATTTCTCTGGTTTTGACTACTTGTGTTCTTTAAGATGTCAGGGTATAACATACTCTCTAGATCTTCTTATTCTTTGGGTAAACACTTGCCCTGGCCAGGCTCTGGCCCAGCTGACCTAAATTATCTTGCCAATATTCCACCAATAACCTGGTCTGAGCTGTCAAGATTCCCCTTAAAGAGAACAGATACTCTCTACACTGGCTTTAGGATTCTCAGCCTTTAAAAGAAAACTGATTGTGTTGTTGTTCACATGATCAAAATATTCTGTTGGTCCCTCATTGCCTGTAGAATAAAGTCTAAATCTGAGCTGTCCAATATGGGAGCTGTTAAAATAAAAATTTAGTTCTTCAGCTATACATTTCAAGTACTCGATAGTCACATGTGGCTAGTCGCTATCATATTGGACAACACAAATGTAGAACATTTTCATCTTTGCAGAAGGCTCTGTTGGACGGTGCTCATCTAAATACCTTAGTGTAGCTCATGAGGCCTTTTCAATCATCTCAACCTTTTGCTTTAGCTTAATTTTTGGCTGCTACTCACTTTTCAGTCCTACCCATTTTTCCCAATGCTCCCTAACCACTCAGGGCCTTTTCACAGCTCCATACCTTTGAACATGCTGTTTTCTCTTCCTGAAACGCCCTTTGACTTTATTCCCCGGTAAACTCCTATCTCTCTTTTAAGATCCCATTCAAACATCATCTTCCTTGTGAAGTTCCCTGACTTTCTTAAACACGATAATTTCTTCCTGTGTGTTCTCCTTGCTCTTTGAACTTAGCTCTGTTGCTCTTATCACTGCATTTTGTTATTATTTGCTAACAATACTGGCTGTGCTCTTGGAAGATAGATCCTGTCTGATGGTCCTATAGATCTGCTCTAACGATTGCTTGAGATTGTTTGCTTGAAGCCCTTTTGATATCAAGTAATATATTTTCTTACTTATGTGTGGCATGTTTGGAAAGGTCTCTTGCTGCTTTAGAAGTCTTTCCCCTTTCTAGTAAAAATCTAGAATGACTTCCTGTCTTCCAGGTTGAAGGTCCACTTTTCTTCTGATTAATTCTGTTTGGATTTGAAAGGATGTGGTAGGAGGAGTTGACAAGGTCAAAAGCAGAGGGACTCAGATGTGCTCAGGTTCCAGTCCTTACACAAAATAACGTGTGTTTTGGAGAAAAGAGTAGGGAGGCAAGATTGGGGGGCTGGGGAAAGCCATGGAAAGAAAATTGGGAAATTGTATTTGGCTTTTTCCAGGCTAAGGCCAAAAGCAACGATATAATAAATTAGGAAAAGTTTTTAATTACCATTTTGTGAAAACGTACATTTCTCCCCCTCCACCCCCCCCCCATTAGAATTTAATAAAATTTTGATAAATTCTTGTGTCTCGAATTACTGGGAAGTAAGTCCTTCTGACCAAGAAATTGACCTATCAATTAGCTTCCCTTCCGTGATTATGGTTAACATCACTCGAAAAGGTTTCTTTTCTGCTGAGAGGGGCACAAGAGGGTCTCAGAGTCGAAGAGACCTTTACTGATCGCTGCTGCAAATCTCGCAGTCAATCATGTCCCTTCGAGCGCTCCGCCACGCCCACTGCCGAGACCACGCCCACCTCCCGGATCCGCCCCAGGCCCAGCCGAGAAAGATTCTCATTGGTGGAGAAGTTGTTCTGGTCCCGCCTCGGGCGACGGCGATAGGCCGAACTAGCGTGGGGCGGTGGTGGTTGGTTGCCGGGGGACGGGTCTCTCGTCTTGCCTGTCAGAGTGGCTGGCGGCAGTGGCGGCTCTCGGAGCTGGGTTGTCAGTCAGTGAGCCGAG